CATACAATTTCCTACCTACGATGCAGGTACGCAAATACGGAGCGACGGGGACAGGTTTTCCATGGTGAATGTGGGAAGTGGACCTGTCAGGTAAACGACAAAGGTACCCAAAGCGCCGGGTCATGACGCTCACCGCCCGGACCGCTTAGATGACCGTGAAATGCGGCATCTAAGGCGGCAAATCAGATGCTACCTTGGCAGCCTACCCACCTAAGCTACAGGTCATTCACAGCAGGAACCATGCGCTAAGTAGGTTCCTTCCCCCGAAACTCTCACTGCAAGGCGCCTGTGCAGCCTTCCTCCATCACAAACCTGGAGGGCTTTCCGCGACCTTCCTGAATCTCCGAAGCCACTACTTCGTACCGAAAACCCACTAAACACAACCGCCACCGTCGCTGCCCTGACTTCCCTTGTGCAGATCCAGCAGCGACAGGCAACCCAAACGGCTCCTCACCTTCACCTCAGGTCCAGAATTCTCTCAGCACCGCCAATACAATCGCCAACGACACCATTCACGCAAACCCGAACCGACACGACCACTTGCCCCCCCAGGCAAGGCCTGCCGCTGCGAATAATCTTACCGATGCCGGCCCATGTTGACGCGCAGAGTCACATTCGTTTACAACACTCGATCCCATAGCATCAGCTCCCGACATCATCAGTGCCATCCTGCCCTATGTAGCGCCCGTCCGCTTTCAACCCTTGCATATACAACACTCGATTCTCACGATCCGCCATGGATCGTGCTAGGAAGCGTCAGTTGCGCTCTCCCGCCCGCCCGCCGCCTCCTCTCCTACTATGCGGCATCTTGCTAACAGTCACTCAGGTGAATTGCGCTCCTTGAACACCCGCGCTTGGGATGGCGAGCAAGGTTCGTACATCGGGTTCAGACCCCACCATGCCCAACACCCCTCCTCTGACTTGCCTCTCCTACACAGACCTGTTTGCTGTCAGCAAATCTCTCGATTCATCTCTCAAGAAGAATACCGCCTTCATCAAGCGCCTTCGAACCGCCGTATCAGCCGCGACCCTAAATACCTTCCTCCAAGAGATCCGCACCCTCAGCCTGCACAAGTACCTCTCCGAAATTGTCTCTGCCTGTTTCGAGGGCCTTTGCAGACTCAAGTCCCCCGGCGAGATCGAAGCTGGCGTCGAAATTGTTAGCGCTCTACACCAGCGCTTTGGTCCCAGCGAGTTCACCGAATACCTAGGATGGCTGCTTGGGAAGGGAATGGCAACGCCCGACAAGAGCTTGCTCAAGTCGTTGGCACCCGAGGTCCGCGAGAAGGAGGAGAAAGAGCGCTTGACGCGCCAGCGTGTGCTCTTGCGCATTGTTACCGAACTTTGGCTGGTTGATGTTTTGCGAACTCTCGATGACGTTACAAGACCAGACGACGCTACCAAGGGTGCTACAGGTAAGGTCGCTGAGCTGAAGCCCAGAGCGCAGGCAAACAGGAGCGGCGCTACCGAGCCTTTTCCCCTCGAAGTACTCAAGGATCTACTTGGCCATGATCGGGAACACGTAAACTTGCCTCTACTCGTCATCTTCGTCAAGGCCTTTAGCTGGGATATCTTGGGAGTCAAGTCTTCGGCTGCCGAGGGACGAAAGACAGTTGGGGAGGACGGCGCGACCAAGACTGCCAACGGAATTGTACACGGGGAGAGTGGCGGCGAAGACCAAGTCATCGACACCGAAGATCAGCCGTTCACGCCCCCTGAGCTTCAGGAGAAGTTCAAGACTATCCTCAAAAAGTACTTTGAGGACGTCAAAAGCCATGTCGTTCGAGACCAGAAATCAATCCATTCCCAAGCCCGCCGCAATGCTGAGGCCTACGTCAAGTCTGGCGAGGTTTTTGAAGATCGCCAGGCCAACTTTGAAAAGCAAATGAAGGCCCAGGAGCGGCTGGTAGCCAATGCTCAGGCCATCGCGGACGCCATTGGCGCTGATATGCCTGATCTCAAGGAGAGCGATGACTCGCTGGGCAATACCAATGGCTCGATCGGTCTGGTCAAGGCTGGTGACTATCTTCGGGGTCTTGGTGACGGTGCTGGTATTTGGGAGGATGAAGATGAGCGACGCTTCTACGAAAACCTCGTCGACCTGAAGGGCAAAGTTCCGGGCATTCTTTTGGACGACGGTAAGAAGAAGAAGTCCGATAACGAGGAGCAAGTGGGCAGGAAAGTGGAAGTTACCGATGCACCGGAACCACCCAAGGTCCCGGACGCAGCCGAAGACCAGTCCACCTCCATCGCCAACAAGACGATTGGTGCTCAGGTGGACGCAGTGTTGGCCCGCCTGCCAGATCTCACCAATAAGGACGTTATTGACCAAGCTGCTATCGACTTCTGCTACCTCAACTCGAAAGCCTCGCGCAACAGGCTAATCAAGGCTTTGACTGAAGTCCCCAAAGGCCGCGGAGACCTGCTGCCCTCATGGGCCAGGCTCGCTGCTACTTTGGGTAGATACATGCCGGATATCCCCAAAGGCCTTGTCGACTATCTTGATGCCGAATTTCGCAGTCTGCAAAGACGAAAGGACAAAGACTTCCTGGGCCAAGTGCGCTTGAGCAATATTCGCTACCTTGCTGAACTGACCAAATTTGGCATCGTTCCGGAGCACGTTGTGTTTCATTGCCTCAAAGTCAGCCTCGACGACTTCTCGAGGATGAACATCGAGATCATCTGTAATCTCTTAGAGAACTGCGGACGGTACCTTCTGCGGAACCCAGAGACTTCACCACGCATGGCAACCTTTCTCGAGACATTGCAACGCAAGAAGTCTGTCCAGCACATTGGCCAAGCCGAACGCATGCTCATCGAGAACGCCGTCTACTATGTTGACCCTCCTGACCGGCCTGCCATTCAGCAAAAGGAGCGCACCCCCATGGAGCTGTTTATTCGCAAGTTGATCTACATGGACATGACTAAGCGTAATTACAGTAAGGTCTTGAAGCAGATTCGCAGACTTCACTGGGAGGAGGCCGAGGTAAGTCACAATTGATTATTGCAGTGTCGTCGGGAATTAACCATACGACAAGGTTGTCACCATTCTTGAAAAGGTCTTCTCTAAGCCGGGCAAAGTCAAGTACGGCAATATCCATCTTCTCGCAATTCTTCTCAGCGCAATTTACCGCTATCACCCTGCTTTCGTCGTCAGGGTTATCGACACTGTCATGGAGTCGATCAGCTTCGGGCTGGAGCAGAACGACTTCAAGTTTTACCAGCGAAGGATTTCTGAGGTCAAGTACATTGGTGAACTCTACAACTACCGAATGGTTGAGCATCCAGTCGTCTTCGACACCATGTACAAGATTATGACATTTGGCCATGGTGGTCCGCCCATCCCCGGTCGACTGAATCATTTCGATTTGCCCGATGATTTCTTCCGCATTCGTTTGATTGCGACTATCTTGGAAACCTGTGGCATGTACTTTGCCAAGGGCGCGGCTGGCAAGAAGTTGGACTACTTCTTGTCGTTCTTCCAGGTTTGTGTTTTTGGATTTCTAGTGGCTTCCCGTTGACTAATACATGATAGTACTACATCTATACCAAGCAATCGCTGCCCATGGATATCGAGTTCATTGTTCAAGACACTTTCGCCCTTACACGACCCCAGTGGAAGTTGGCAACCAACCTCGAAGAGGCTTCAAAGGCATTCCAGCTTGCCATAGCTCAGGACCAAAAGGTCTCGGGAGCCGACAAGACGCTCGAGGCCGACGATGCATCCATCGGATCGTCTTCGGACGATGAGGATGGAGATGAACATTTGCCTGAGCCCGAGGCTGACGAAGAAGAGTCTGATTCTGACGAAGATGCTGAGGTAAGAGAATTGCATAGGCCGTGCTGGTCCAACCCGTTACTGATCAGTCGTACGAACAGGACAATGACGTCGACATGTCTCACGCGGACTCCGATAGCGAGGATGAAGCTATCGTGGTCACTCGTCAGCAGGAACAGGTTGATCCGGAGGCCGAGGCTGAGTTTGAACGTGAATACGCTAAGATGATGGCCGAGAGTCTGGAGTCTCGCAAGTTCGAGCGCAAGCCCTTGTTTGACGTGCCACTGCCCGTCCGCGGCAAAAGCAAGGAGTCAGCAACAGCAGCCGACTCTGGAGATACCGGTGTGCCCGCTCCCAGTAGCACAATGGCCTTTTCGCTCTTGACGAAGAAGGGCAACCGTCAGCAGGTGGGTGAAGTCGTCGTGGGTTCCGTGCAGTTATCATCTTTGCTAACAAGCTTCGCAGACGCGTACTGTGGAAGTTCCTTCCGATTCAACATTTGCTGTGGCTATGAAAACTCAGCAACAAGCCGAAAGAGAGGAGCAGCAACGCATCAAGAACCTTGTCTTGAACTATGATCTTCGCGAGAGCGAGGATCCGGATGGTAACGACTGCCCAAACCCAATCAAAGCACACCTAGATATTCACAACCCCCAAGCAGGCCACGAGAAGCCAACTTCCTACCACCATAATCGAACAGATCGCGGAAAAGACCGCGGCGGACAACGGGTTCGCAAGCTTCAGCTAAGTGACGTTGATTGGTATGAATCATCAACCAAGCGTGGAAACTATTTCGCGCGGGCACATACTCCTCGCTCCGACTGGGACGTAGAAGCTGGCAACGATGTAGAGCAGTCAGAGACTCCTCCAACATATCAGCACGGTACTGTTCACAAGCGTCACATGCCGGCCATGCACTCTACGCCCAGACCAGGAGATCGGAAGGAACAGCCTAGCCGGGTTCGCAAGTGCCAGTAGAGTTCGCTAACGAAGGGGAAACCTCGATTTCATAACAGGACGTGAAGAACGCACCATCATACAGAACTAGGTTCTGAGGATACACGTTACTGCAGTCTACCAGACGCTACCAATACAACCCCCTGGAGGTTGCCCCAACTGCCAAGACTTCCAGGGTGCAGGATGGCTCCGGAGGCTCACTGAGGCAGACAAATCCATGCGAGGCACCAAACGCGGCCGAGTATACTCTCGTCACCGGAGCTTACTAGCTTTTCAAGCTCATAATACTCCACGATCTAGCCGAGACCCATGGCGGACTGGCAAGTAAATAATCCAAGCTGCGATCAACAATTGGTTTATAACTTAAGGATTCATATGGATGAAGAGCCATGGGTTGCAAGGATGGCCAGTCACCGGCTAGATCGTAGTTTGTGCGTAAGGGTGATGATGAAGGAGAGAGGAACGCCAGGTGGAATGGATGGGTGCAAAGCAGATCTTTACCACAACAGCTAAGCAAGTGGGTACAGTACCTATAAGATCTGAAGCCATCATTCTGGTTGATTGGGCCTGGGATCACTGCCGCCTTTTCTTTACAGAGGAGAATTCCCAGATTCAACATTCTTTTGATAGAGAGAAGTAGATGTCCAATATTGAGAAAGGTAACAGACGCATGAGCAAATAGGCTTGGCTGTCGTCGCCAGTGCCTCTTCCGACCCGTAATAGGCAATTTTGATCTACCTCATTTCTCACGGGCGAATCTGGCCAAATGATTCACTCACGGTGGCATGGCAAGAGGTAGGAAAGCGTAATTGTGATTTTCAACCTGATCGTTCTAGTGAAGTGGCTGACAGCCTGATATTGTACTCTCTCTCACAGGATTCGCAGCTGAATCGCTGGGTCCGTTGGCCAGAATTTTGAACAAGATGGTTGCGGGTGTGGCTTACAGTCGACCCGATGTGTGGTTTGAGAGCTGGTGTGAAGTGGGGTGGGGGCATCATGGCACTGGTCGACGGTGCTAGATCTGATGTAACTCGATGGTGCTTCTTGGCAAGCATTAGCTGTGGGCAAGAGGAAATACGAAGTGCACATGTTTCAGTTGGCACAGGCAGTACCATTACTTGGAAAGGGTGTCATCGTTCGTTTCATCTTGGAAGAAATCCCTAGGCTGACGTTGCATCGTAGGTAGTTGACGCTGGCCAGTCGAGTCTCGGTGAAAAGAATTTTGTTTCTCGTTTGCGGCAGGAAACGTCCCGACAACAGCATGCTGTGCATTTGGCGCTGCCATTGTTGCCACGCAGCTGTTCAGCACAACTATACCGCGACTGCAGCCGCGACCGGACGTAGGCCATCCTACGTCCGGTGGACGCAAGACGGGCTGCAAAAAAGCCAAAGGTGTGCTCTGAGGTTCATGCAGGTCGAAAGTGTATGTCTACGGCCAGGGCGATGGCAAAAGACGAACAGGACCCTGTGCGCGTGTCGAATCCGATGGCGACAGCTTGACATGGCTGGGCAACATTATTGGGCCGAACCTTGACCTTATTTGTGCATAAGCTCGCTTCATTCGTCCGATGTCGAGGTTCTCACTACGCCTGCCTCAACCAAGGCATCGCAAACGGAGAAGAAGGTCGCTGATGCAGTGTATCCGGCGGACTTGGCCGACATGCTCCAAGCCAGTGCCAAGTAAGAATGCTGACAATTCACATTGACAACAACGACGTGTCGCTTTCACATTTGAGGTGGTTGAGGAGGTTACTAGCCACACAAGTCGAAACTTGTGTCGGCGGCGGCGGGCGATCGCGTGGCAAATTGAGACTGCAAACAACTATCTGTCGCCTGCGTGATGCCATCTTCGAGGGGGTTGAGGATGGATGGGAGTAGGAGCGCGTATCCGTAGAGGGGTGGTCTGGAAGCGGGTGGGGGGTGAGCGAGGCACGCGTGGGCGTATGGCGCCGTTGTCCCAGTGTGTCCTGAAATATCACATTCCGGCTGATCCTGGGTTGCTCGGACGTCCACGGACGTCTTGGGGTGGAATCTGTATGGTACCATGCCCATATCCACCGGCTAGGTAAGAGATGTTCAGCACCGACCACGGCAACACTGCGCCCACCCTAGACTGGAAGACAGGGAGATGGAAGGATTAGTAAAAGAGGATTTGAGCGAATTCAAGGACGTGAGGAATTGGGCGCGGTCTTGTTGTAGACATTGGTTTTGTATCGAGATATCGCTAGCAAAGCTTGAGGTCAGATGCCCTGGAACACGGCCGGAGTTGGTGTAGATGATCTGGAAGATGGTTGTGTGGACTGTGGAAGAGGTCGAATGCGGCAGAAAGCCGTCTCGTTTGGTTCTGGCCCCAAAATAGACGGGATCGTTCGTGGTTGCATAGCCGTGGATATCGGAGAATTTCGTCTCTTTCCTGAATCCTCGTCGACTTTGGAGAAGTGAAATAAGACAAGCGCGATGGATGTTTTGGGAAAGAGTTCCCCACAAGCGCCGGGATCGTCGTCGGCAAGATTGGCTGCCCCTGGACCAAAACGTCTTAGCGCCTCAGGGCAAGGTTCGGTGTGCTAACCTTGAGGGAGGTGCGCCAATCATGTTTCCTTCCTCCTGGATGTCCCGTCCCTCACAAAGTGCGATGGAAGACGGGAAGCCCCAGATGCGAATCACCAAGGTTTCCTTCCGTCACCTCAGTCAAATTCCAGCTGGCAGGGATAATCTTCTCAGCATTTGATAGTAAGGGTTTACGGAGTACTGGCCCCAGTATACATACCAACCTGAAGCTTGCTTGGCCGAGGTGCCTCGCTCGGTTCTTGGTGTGCTCCAAGCTCACCTTACCTTGGTACCATACGGAGTAGCAATGATGCCTCTAGAAAGCACTTTGCGGATGGGTGTTTGTCATTGTTTGTTGAAGGCTGACGGTCAAGGAGTGGCAAAGGCCAACCGGAATGGCTTCTACGGCAACCGCGCATAGGGTTAGGCTGGCGGGTTGCGGCGTCTAAACTACGTGACTACCGACTGTGAGAACAGAACATTCCATCGCAAACTCAAAAAGAGACACTTCATCTTTAATTCATGGGGTGATGCTTTGCATTTACCCTAATGCGATGGCGGTCGAATAAGGTGGCCGTACAGGGCACCTGAAGTTCTTTGATACAGCGGCCCCTACCGCCCGAAGTCCCGGCTGTGCTGACGACCCACCTGTCGGCTCATCTGATCCCTGCCCGACCCTTCCCTAAATGGACTTGATCCTCTTGATATGCTTAGCTAATGCAATTGACACCCCTGCTTCACCAAGGGCAAATGCAACTTCACGTCGGGTCCTTGAGTGCCAACAGCGCATACCTACTTTGCTACTCTCACATCGCTTCGCTAATTATCCCAGGTTCACCTGCCGTGTACGTCACATTCTACACAAATATGCTCAGATATTGGAAATGCAGGATACCTACCTTACCCCAACGGGTCTGGGCTGTTCGTTCAGACAGGAAAGGTAGACCCAGATCCAAGAAGGTGTGCGGAAGAACTCTCACTGGGCTCGGCTGGGCTGTGCATTCCAGAGTTGACGATCACGTCCGTCTCCTACTCATAGTTGTTCCCAGCAACGAGAGCCTTGACCTACGTAGTCGCCGTTAGCATCAGAAGCACATCATATTTCAGCAACGATCGCGGATCTAAACGAGACCACGAGGACGGGTGATACCCCCAAACCACTGCGTGATTAGCATTCCGTCGAGAACCCGGCTGCGTGGGAAGTTGTAGACACGAGGCATGTCGCACCAAGGGTCCTGACAGTCGTACCACATGCCATTCTAACTATCTTGCCCCGTTAACTCATCCAGCATTTCTGAGCGAGGCTATTGCCACGACGGCAACCCGATTCGTCAATCTTGCCACGTACCAGGCGCCGGGGACGTCTAGGAAACTGTAGAAACACGTCTCCTAGGTCCCGCTCGGCATACAGCTTGCAACTCGAACCGGCCGGTCGCAATACCAAGAGCCCCTCCATGTGCGCAATCGGGTACCTAGCTATCCGCGCCAAAATGATGCCTCGCCTGGCTTGACATTGGCGCCCATCCATCAACTGGCTAATGTGATCCGTGCAGGTCGGTGATCCCTGAGAGCTGCTCTTTGCTTGCTTGCCTGCTTGTTTGCTTGATCCCCTTGGGCTGAATACCTAATCATCCTCCTTACCCACCTATTCAACTTGGACCATCCAGAACCCCCCCCCCCCCCCCATCGGTCTGTGAGGTACCGGATCGATCCTAGACGGGCGCGGCTCTATCGAGCCTCGAACCCTGTTCGCGCCTCCCCCGTCTTTGGTACCCTTTCCTTTTCCGTCTTGCTCCATGTTGCGCCCCAGGCTTCTTAAGACGAGTAGGAGCCAGCCAACATCTCCCGTCATCTGATTTTCTACTCAGCGTCTCTTTTAGTCTTCGTCGCTCCGCGATCTTCCTTTGTCCTCTCTGGCTGATCCCCGCTCATGATGTACTCGTTGACCTCATAAGAGCCCATCTGAGCTTGAGTGTCGCGACCGACATTTTCTTGGCCAATCTGAACAGGCCGGTCACTACTGGGAGGTGAGTCGTTTCCTCATCCGGCCCATCGCAAGTCACCCCAAGCTCACCTCACTCGAAGAAAAAGGTGGCTTTGCCCATGTTCACGGCCGAACCATCAGATCTCGCCTTTCCGCGGTTACCGACTACTTTGTTCGGATACCTTGCTTCCGTTGGTGCGGCACAACTTGAGAGTCTCGACTCCAGCCCAACACACCCGTCCGACTGGATTCAAGAAAACGAGTGTTAAACATAGTACGCGCCGTACAAGCGAGCTGCAACTACCCGACGACAACACGCTTTATCTGCACGATCCCGCCTCCCTCACCGTGACGTGGACCTTTTCTATCCAGCTGAAGTTGCGGTTATCGGTCGGCTCATTGCCCGGCTGCGTTTGCTTCCACCGCTCGTGTATCATCGATTCAGCGCACTTTTTTTTTTCTTAGACACGATGGAAGACTACAGTTATCTTGTCAAGATGGCGGAGCCTGGTGATGAGAATTACTGGGCCCCCAAGGATGTAAGCCCCTCTGGAACTTGTATATACATCCTCACTTGCTGACATGCCCAGATTGTTTACACTTCCATTGTCGGATTGGTGATGTTGGCAGCCATCCTCGAATGGTTCCTATGGATTGCTGCATTTCTGTACTGCCTATGGAAGGTCTTCGTCAAGGCCGAGCACTGGTCCATTCGAGTATTGGCAGTCATTGTTGGCATCTTGTTCACTTGTTTCAGGTAAGTGGAAGCGTCAGGCAATCCTCTCACACGAAAGATGGTTGAGCTTACGATTCTCACTAGAGCAATTTTCCTCCCAATCATGATCGTCACTCTGCCTCTGCCCAGTGCTGTCGTAAAGTACTGGCCGACGAACATGGTCGATGTCCTTCAGTGGTTCGCTTTCTGGAGTTTTGCTGGTCTTCTGACCATCCCATGGCTATTCTGCGTCTATCAGCTTGTTACCAACCAGCTCGGACGAACGAAGAGAATCAAGCAGGTTCTGGACGAAGTCTCGGCACCAAAGGTCGTTATTGTTATGCCCGTTTACAAGGAGGACCCTGATGTTCTC